TACATACATACATACACACTTACATAAATACGCACATACATGCATGTATACATAAATGCATACATACATACATACATGCATACATACATACATACATACATACATACATACATACATACATACATATGTATGCGGTATTTACGCTTATTGATGTAAACATCTATAAACCGCAACTGTGTAATCACATATGTCTAACGTGCATCTGTGTGTGTTTCTCTAACCCGAGGACTCCTGGCTATTGCATTCGCCTGCAACTGAGGTTTGACAAAATCCTACAAGACCTTAAGCACCCGAATCTATAGGACATTCCGGTAGATTCCTGATGATGGTTCATTCAGGGCTTGCTCCAACAGCAGAACCACCCCACGTTCATCAATCACAAAGCCTAAACCCCTGAACCCCAAAGCGTAAACCTCCAAACTCGAAACCCCAAACCCCTAAACCCCGAAACCCCTAAACCCTAAACCCCGAAACCCCTAAACCCTCTACCCCCAAACCCCTAAACCCCTCATCCCCAAACCCAAAACTAAGACCTTACCTTAAGGGTCCAAGTACCTAATCATCATATACTCTCCCAAATAGTAACCTACATAACTACTATCCGAAACCTAAGTACCGGTCCTTTGGACCCTTGGGGTGCCCTAAACCCTAAACCCTAAACCCTAAACCCTAGTCTAAACCTGTGAGACATCAACCCTGAGCCCCAAAACCCTGAGCCCAGAAGCCGAACTTCCCAGCTCCCAATATAGTTGCCTTAACAGTTAAAATAGAGTGTTTGGGGGTTCCTTTAAAGGGTTCCTTTAAAGGGTTCTATAAGGGCGTAGGATATAGGGGCCTGAATGATTTAAATAGGGTTTGGGGGGGTTCCTTTACAGGGTTCCTTCTGTAAGGGTTTAGGGTCAGGGGCCTTAATAATTAGAGCAGGGTTTGGGGGGGTATATATTTTACGATACTTATGATAAAGAACCCCCAAAATAGTACAGGTAATTGTTTAGTTTAGGCTTCTACATTCGACCCGGAAACTCTGCCCAACGTGACCAAAGGCCAGGACTTTCGGACCTCTGGTCGTGGGTGGCCCTCTGGCTCCATCTGGGCTTCGGGCTTTAGGGTTTAGGGTTTAGGGCCTCAGGGTCCATGTACCCAAAAGTTGGCCCCAAGGTACTTCTATAGGTACTACTTTACGGCCAAAGTAGATTTATTTGGGTACATGGAGCCTGAGGGTAAGGAGTTCAAAGGTTGCCCTAAAGGGTCCAAAGGCCCAGGAATTAGGGTTTCGAAGGGGTTCTTGTAAGGGTTCATAAGGGAGCTATCGATTAAGTACTTCTGTTTCGGACAGTAGTTATGTAGGTTACTACGGTTGATGATAGAAACAATGCATTACCCAGAATTTCGTATACATACCATAATTCCCATAGTTTAGGGTTCTTAAGGATAGTGCAGGATTTAGATCATCAAAAGTAAGGAGTTCAGAGCTCAGCATTTAAGGCATACCCAGATCCTTTAAAGGAGTAAGGAGTTCAGAGCTCAGCATTTAAGGCATACCCAGATCCTTTAAAGGAGTCAGTAGACCACAAATTATAGCAAGGTCCCTAGTATGATTTTAGAATATATTCCTGAAATTCAGGGATATTGCCCTAAGGGTCCAAGTACCTAATGATCATATACTCTCCCAAATATTACTCTGAAGCGCCCCAGACTCCCACCCAGATCTTCCCACCCTAAGGGTCCAAGGGACCCAATAATCAGGTACAGTAAGTAGGGGTTTAGGGCTTATATAGGGATAGGGCTATACATCCCAATAGTAAGGTACTTTGGTTGCGGGTAGTAGTTATTTAGGGTAGGTCCAGGGCTTCAGCGCATTTCGGGTTACTGGAATCGCTTCTGTGTTGGAGGGCCTTGGGCTGGTTAGGGTTTAGGGTTTAGGGTTTTAGGGTTTATAGGGTTTAGGGTTTTAGGGTTTAGGGTTTAGGTTTCAGGGCTCTCCGAACAGATACTCAACATTTCGGTAGGGTTTGTGGATTAGGGTTTGGGGTTTAGGGGCAGTGTATGGTTGAGGGTTCACAGTTTATAACCTCGAGCAACTTAACATCCTGATCAAAACTCACTGACTTTAGACTCCACCAAGCCGCATGCGTAAACCCAGGTCCAAAAGGGTGGTGCTGCGAGTGACGATAGCACCAGCAACCACGGGTCATAACCAGGGCCACAGCAAAGACACTACCCATAACTCTCATGACAGCACCAAAAGTCACTAACCCCCCCCCGGCCAAAATGGAGAGCTAGCACCACAATATCAACAACTAGTCACCACCGCAAAGACAAACCACAACAGTATGGCAGCAACAATCCTTAAACATGAATAATGAGGCAGCATTGTGACACCAGCAACAATTTATGCAAATGCACTCAGAAGCAACAGCATGACCAAGCGCTCTGAAAAGTAGGAGCACAGGCAACGGAGAGCAGCGCGTCGCATCATCATACCCTAAACCCTAAACCCTAAACCCTAAACCCTAAACCCTAAACCCTAAACCCATCATAATAAGGCTCAAGCCCTAAGGGTCCATGTACCCAAGGGGTATATACAGTGGCCCCAAAGTACTTAGATAGGGACTACTTTAAGGTCAAAGTATATCTATTTAGGTACATGGACCCTTAGGGAAGTCTACTGGGACCAACAACCCTACTTGTGGGTCATAGCTTAGGGTTTCGGGGCTTAGTGTAGGGTTTAACCAATCCCCAAACTACCTAAAACATCCATCTACCCTCTACTAGACCATAAATACCCATTAGCTGGGCGCTGGGAAAATATAATCTCTGTTTGAGGCCACAAGCAGTGTCCTGGTATTCACCCTGAAACCCTCCCTAAACCCTAATTAAACCCTAAAGCCCACTAAACCGATCCGACTGAGGAACCAGCGAACTGAGTGGATTGGCTCCCAAGCTGTGACGATTGGCTCCGAAACTGGCGAACTTCAGCGTTGAGGGTTTAGGGTTTAGGGATTTAGGGGATTTGGTGCTTAGGGATTTAGGGTGTAGGGTTCAGGGTTTAGACGAGTGGCTCCGAAACTAGCTCCGAAACTGGCGAATCTCACACACCAAACATCGTACAACTTAAAGTAAGCTGCATACATCTACGAAAACCTCAGAGACCCTGGTTCGAATTCCTCAGAATCATGTGTCGTAGGGTTTAAAGTTTAGAGGATACGAGAATTTGTCAAGAGCCCTAGCAAAAAAGAACAATGGATTCTTAAGCAGGTTCATACTTTACACTGCGGTTACAAGTTACCCATCTTTCCAACAATGCTTGGTCTCTGCAGAAATTGAAGTTGAACGTTTGTAGCGGCAACCAAACATCCTGATAAAGCTCCATATCGGTTGCGGAAATTCGGTGAATGAAGGCTGGGCAGCCATCCCCCCTTGCCCCCAGAGGCCCCAAACCTTGAACTTGAAGCTGTAAATGCCCAAACCCCGAATCCCTCAAGCCGAATCCCAAACCCTGAACCCTAAACCGATCCGTGCTATGGACCCTTAAAAGACCCTCAGAGGAACGAAGCCTTAAGGGCTCAATCCAGAAACCTCAAAGCCCCTTACAGTACCCTATATAAGAGGAACCCTTCAAAGTAATCGAAATCCAAAACCTATAACCCATGGAAAACCTTAAACAATCCTGACCACCCTTACGAAACCTTCTGGAAACCCTGAAGCCCCAAACATGACCTGCATCAGGCGACTGGGCAGCATGCTCGAAGCGAGCAGTGACTGTGGCCTTCAGCAGATGGAGGGGGAAAAAAACTCTGAAGTAGGGAAGTCATTGATAGTATGAGTATGCTCAACTGTGCTGTTCATTGCATAGAATCATTGGTGGCTGTCAGTGGCGTGTTAAGCTTGCTAATAACACTAGTTCTGTGAGTCATGCCAGTACCCGCATGGACAGTACGAACATGGTAGCCATGTTTCTTGCTTTATCAAACAGGTTCAACACAAATACAGGCTCGATAAAGACAATGGTTGTGCAATTTGCCAGAAATTCCTAAAAACAATCATATACAGACATTCGTATCAGTAACCAACACTAATCCGACAACAGCACTCGAAATGATAGCATGCAGCAAACCTGCCATAACCTGACTGGTGCTTCGTTGACAATCTACAGTCTCCATTGTAGTTCCTGCTGGGTTCCCTTATAGGATCCTAGATACAAAAGTGGTTTAACCAATAAAGAAACTACAATGGATACTATAGGTAGATACGACGATGCTGTCCATTTTGTTGGCAGGGATGGGCAGCCGCCCGAGGGTCGCGTCGCAATCTCGGGTTTAGGATTTACGGTTCAGGGTCTAGGGTCTAGGGTTTAGGGTTCAGGGTTTAGGGGGTCTACTGCGATTGAACACGCCACCCATAGAAGATCACCACAAGCATGGAAAAGCCTTACACTAGCCTTACCCTAAGGGTTCAGATACCTGACAATCAAATACTCTCCCTAATGTTAACCTAGATAACTACTATCCGCAACCAAAGCCTAAACCCTGATTATTGGGTCCCTTGGACCCTTAGGGTTACGGCCCTACACCTTCTTGCGCCTTGGCAGAGCCTCCAGATCCTTACTTTCTGAACGAAAAAAGTGCCTGGCCAACGCTGGATGATAGAATCTACCCTTCAAGACGGGTAGTTCTCTAAATTAGGCTCCAAATTTACGAACCCTAGATAACAGTACGGCACCCTTGGAAAAGAATCCTGAAAAAGGGATCCTAGTTTAGAGAACTATTCATACTGAGAACCGACGTCCGCTACCTGAAAAACCCTAAACCCTAAACCTAAACCAAAAAACCGGCCGGGGTCATAGCTCTCGAGGAGGCACCGTATCCTCCGCAGCTACGCTGGCCCGTCGGAGGCCGGTTCGGTAGACCTCCGGCGGGGCCCAGAGTGCAGGCTTTTGGGTTGAGGGCTTGGGGTTTAAGGGTTTATAGGGTTTATAGGGTTTATAGGGCTTATAGGGTTTATAGGGTTTAGGGTTTAGGGTTGAGGGTTTAGGGTTGAGGGTTTGGGGTTGAAGGCTTAGGGGCTTAGACTGTGTTGAGGGATGCCTCAAGGGGTTTGCGACAAAGGGGTGCGAAGGTGTACAGCAATGTAGGAGCCTTAATAATTAGACTAGGGTTTTGGTGTATATTATTATACGATAACTGCATAATAAAGAACCCCCCAAAATAGTACAGGTAGTTATTTAGGCCCCTACATTAATGATTGCCAGAGTTTTCAACATCCAGTCGAAGATAAGCTTTCGGATGAAGGAGTACCATAAGGACTTAATACACTCAGCCCTAGAACCCTACTGGAGCCCTTATAGATCCCTAAGCGGAGTGCTCCTTGTAGATCCCTTAAGGCTTGCAAAGAACACTTAAGACTTACAGGGCTTATGCCGTCGACGCCGAACGTGCCTGCGCAGCGTTTCGATTCATGCGAACCCAACACGGAGACGGATGTCGCGCCTGCGAAAGGCCACATCTGTGATAGGTTTTAGGGTTTAGGGCTCAGAGATTGGGCTTTAGGGTTTGGGGTTTTAGAGCTTCGGGTTTAGGCCATGTGGCGAAACCTCCTGCAACTAATGTAGGGGCATCAATAAAGATAATACGGTTTCGAGCTCCTTTATACTATAAAGATTATGCAGAGGAACCCCCTTGCATCTAAGCCCCTACAGCATAAACAAACTCGAATTCGCCATCTCGTGGCATGGACTGACCCCGTCCCGTTCGAGAAGCAACACCCTCTCTAGGCCGGCTTCTTTCAAAACTCAAATGACCTTACCAGGGTCTAGGGCTTCAGGGGTTGAGAGTTTGGGGCTTAGGGCCTCCAGCTTGGAATCTTCCTCCACTCGACAAACCCGGCAAACAAATCCCCGTCCGTGGTCGTAGCACATCGCTGGCAAGCCGCAGCCGTTACAAGAGCTGGGAAGCTGGTGCAACACGAGCAACCCCAGAGTCATCTGTTGGACATGACATTAAGATTATGGAGGCTGATTCTAAACAGTGAACCCTTCCAGACTACTTGGGGCCGGCATTTAACCCTAAACCCGGCTCTCAATCATGAGCCCCTACACCCTAAACCTATCCTTCGCCTATCCACAGACCCACACTCTAGCCCCAACATATTCTGAGTTTTGCTGGCTTTCTGACTACAGCAGCAGCACCGGCCGTATTGCTGGAATCCTCGTTGTCCTATTTGTTGCTGCTGCGCTTCTCAGTGTCATTGCTAAGTTCTCTGACAGAAACAGCCTCCGGGTGCATGGAGGTTGAGGAGTTCCAAATCCTCACCTGGTTTATAGGGTTTAGGGTTTAGGGTTTTTGGGTTTAGGGTTTTAGGGTTTAGGGTTTAGGGTTTAGGGCTTTTGGGTTTAGGGTTTAGGGTGCTTTTTGGGGGATGGTTTCAAGGTCTAAAACCGTCTTAGACCCCAAGCTGAGCAGGAAACCTCCAGGTAGTCGCCAGCACGCAGGGTGGAGGGTATCAGCCCGCCAGGAATCTGGAGCTGACAAAAGGCAATAAGTATCAAACTTGCATGTTTACGTGTGTATACACACATATGAATATATATATATATATATATATATATATATGCATGCGCATATACACGCATCTCTGCTTCTATGTTTCTTTCTATCTCTTGGTCGATCTGTCTCTCTGTCTGCCTGTCGACGTATCTACCTATACACCTGTCTACCTATCGTCGATCTATCTGTCTATCTATCTATCTATCTATCTATCTATCTATCCGGCTATCTTTCTAGTCTGCAGACTCATCTAACATCATCTAGTCTCGTGTAACCCAATAACCCAGTAAATCAGTCCCTCGATCAATCAGTTAATGAGACAACCAACCAACCAATCAATCAATCCATCAACCAATCAAACCGTCGATCCGTGAGAATGAACCAATCAATGTATCTAACTGTCTGCTGCTCCATCTGACTGCCTACCTACCTACCTACCTACCTACCTACCTACCTGCCTACCTACCTACCTAGGTATCTATCTGTTGGTTCTATTCGCTATGCTATCCTAGCCAATTTATTCTAGAACCTTGGCCGATCTATCTATCTAGCTATTTGTCTACATCTCTCTCTCTCTCTCTCTCTCTCCCTGTCTATATATATATATATACATATCTCTCCCTCTCTCTCTCTCGCTCTCTCTCTCTCTCTCTCTCCCGTGCCAGCAGACAAACAAGCTAGACCAGTGCTGACGAACAAAGAACATATAGCCACGTACATACATACATACATACATACATACATGTGTATATATATATATATAGACAGACATAAAGAGAGAGAGAGAGAGAGAGACAGAGTTACAGGTGCATGTATAATTATCTGTATTCTAACTCTTTCTCTGGCTCTCCCGCTCCATCTATATCTATACATACATACATACATACATACATACATACATACATACATACATACATATATATGTACATACACGCATACATACGTACCTACTGCAGTATTTCCCCCGTCTTCTTTTCAAAGACTGCTGGTACAGGATTCACGTTGCTTGAAAGCCTGGCTGCAAACATAAAGTAAACAACAACAGCTTCCCAGCCCTTCCAAAATCCTTTCGTTAAGGAACATACCTTACATCACATTAGGGATCCTACCATAACTTAACGTATATATTCCTTAATTAATGGATGCTGGAAGGTCTGAGTTCTTGCAGTCCGACCTGCTGCTTCACGATACCCTAAACCCTGACCCTGAACCTCAAGCCGCGCTTGGACCAGAAACGTGGGTGCTGACTGCAATTCCGTATCCTATGGGGTGGAATGCCCTAGCCCAGGAAAAAGGTAAGCCTTGTAAATCATGGTAGGATTATGTAAGCTCCCAAATGTTAGTCAAAGGTTGCCTATTCAGCCCCTAACTATCATTGCCTCAGGATAGCCCTTCAGTGAACAATGCAGAAATGCACAGTCTCAACATGTAGACAGCAGCAAAGGGCATGGTCTTTGCTGCCATGCCGGATCTCTAGAGACAAGGCATGGTGACTAAAGTCTTAAACTAGGGTTTAGGGTTTAGGGTTCAGGGTATACACCATGAGCCCGCAAATCTGAACCGTTGTTGTGGTGTTGCACCCGGGCACCTGAAAGCGTCCACCTGGCACAAAGTCCTTCGCAGCTGCGGCAGGGTTCTTTTTCAAGTGTTTCTATACAAGGGCTAGTTGTTTGAGAAGTTTAGAGTTTACGGAGGCTCCAAACGCACAGAACTCAAGTTTCAATCGCGCATTCATGATGCATACACATGGACTGAACGAGATTTGCGGCACATGTACATCTGCATGCATACAGACATCGCCGGCGAGACACGGACAGAAAGAGGAGCTGGTGCTATCGGCTCAGCGATCGGATGGTTTGGCCGGTCAAGGCTTGCCGTACCGTTTAGGGTTTAGGGTTTAGGGCTTGGGGTTTAGGGTCCTATCTTGGGATTTAGTTTTTGTTTTTTTTGTTGGGGGGGGGTTCGGGTTTGGGATTAGTAGGGTTTAAGGTTTGGGGTTTAGGGTTTCGGGGCTCTAATTGTCCTCCATGTCTTCCTGCGTCACCTTGTACAGAAGGGCCGTTCCCTTCTGCCGGTATTTCTTGTAGCCTCACGGATGCAAAGCTGCGGGCGTGAACCCAGAGACTCCAATATCCCTTAATTAAGGCATATACCTTAAATCATAGAAGGATCCCTAATATGATTTAAGGCATATTCCTTAATTAAGGGATATTGGAGTCTTTGGGTGCAAAGCTGCGGGCGTGAATTGAACTGCACAAGGCGGTGCAAAACATCAGCTCCTGTCCTGTCCATGCACGTCGTTTGGGGTTTAGGGTTTAGGGTTTAGGATAATTGTTGACCCTTGCCTAGAGTGATTTAGGCACAGGTTCTCAGGCATATAAGTTTCTCTCCAAAAGCCCCTAAATCATCCAACCCTAAACTCCAAAACCCTAAATTTCAAACCACTTAGGGTTGAGGTACAAATGTGAAATCCTTCTCTCGTACTTTGAGGACCCTAAGCCCTAAGCCCCCTTTCTGAATTCGTGGCCTCTCTTCTGGAGCAGCTGCACTTCTGGCGACGGATCCTGAAGACAGCTCAGGAAGCCGGAACAAGTCAGCTACCACATAAAAAGACACATATACATACATGGATACATGTGTTTGACATCTTTCCTAGTCACGCCATGTCTTGACCAGAACACAGATTGTGCATGTCAAGCCGTAAAAACTAGCCCTAAACCCTAAACCCTAAACCCCTAAACCCCTAAACCCTAAACCCTAAACCCTAAAGCAAGTGTGGGTGTTCGTAATGAGTTGCTCTTTTCGGCTCCCCCTTCCAGATTAATCCTGCGTTGTTGAGCACGGGGTCCGTCGTGTTACAAGCGACGTCACAGGAGGGTTGCTCGGGGCTAACTAAGGATTGAAGTGTAGATTTTAAGGACTTTGGATTTGGTTTCGAACCTTTTGCCCTAATCCCTAAACTCTAAACCCTAAAGCCTAAAAAATCAGAAGCTCTGCTTCCGGACGTGCTGAGAGCCTAGCAGCAGGAGCAGGTTAGAGCAGGGTCGGCAGAATCTGATAAGCCATAACGTAAAGGCTTACAGTGTAGGGTTTAGGGTTGAGCTAGACTACTTAATAATTAGTAGAATAAGGTATGTATATGGTCCTGGTCGGTTTTGACAGAGGTGTAATGCTGTGGCCTTAAAGAGTAAGATGGGGACGTTACGCATTGTTGCAGCGGTTTTAATATCGGCTCCTTCATACATGGAAGAAGGTGTTCTCGTAGATTTTACAGTGTTTTACCAGGGTTTGCTGCAGAGCCTTAATGGATCGGGCTGGGTTTATGGATGGTTGCTTGCAGAGCTGCTTAGGGAGTTTGAATCAGGCCGTAATTTTCCGAGTGGGTTTGGGGTCTATACTATACTATCAGGCATTTATAGGTTTATAGGAAGACAACTATTTTTTGGAGGCAATACTCCCTAGTAGTCCCTCGAAAATTACACCACAGTCTGCGCCACTTGTTAATATACTGGTACACACTACGAATATGTACGCATACACAGTTACACACGCACACATACGCACACAGACACACACACACACACGCTTATATATATATATATATATATATATTTATTTATTTATTTATCTATTTATTTATACCTACCTACCTACCTACCTACCTACCTACCTACCTACCTACCTACCTAGCTATCTAACGATCTATCTATCTATCTCCTATATATGCAAAGTACTTATTCAGGTATCTAATTACGTTTTGTCATTGGATCTCGGCATCTTCCTCGCCTCCCAAAGCTCTGCTGGTAGGCAATGGTCCTGCAGACCAGCATCGAAGATGAAACCTTATAGTAATCGTAAACATTTATAACAACAACAGTGACAAAATGTAGCACGGATCACAAACATAGAAACGGAGGCCATGCTGATAACAACAGCAACAGTATCTGATACTAACCCGAACAACCGTCATCATCACAATTAAGTCAACTTCGTAGTAACAGTGATAGGAAAACCGTACTACTACTACTACTACTACTACTACTACTACTACTATTACTACTACTACTACTACTACTACTACTACTACTAATGATAGATATCGTAATCATATGACGGACATCCGACAGCAGGAACAGCCTAAAGACGATCCAGAGGTTTAGTACTGTAGGCGGTTTGGTGCATATTGTTGACGGGGTAGACACACCAGAAATGCTCATAACGTCTTTTGTTTCGATCGTGCGGACTTGTATTAGCTTGGCTGTTACTACCTCGACAAAACAAGGGCTTTCCTCCAAACCTTACTTGACCAATGCGTGTGAGTTTGGTGCTCGCAGCTAAAAGCTTTCGGTTTCGGGTCTTGGGTTTAGAGGTTCCGCCGGAAAAGCCTCACATTAAGTGTCTAACATGTGGAGACCGCTTAAACTCATGGTCTCGTCAAATCACCGCCAATGGCTTTTACTTAGGTTAGCACACCCAGGCTTATCATTTGGCGAGCCCACGAGAAAGCTTCATTCATGGGTAGGAGCCGTTTCAGGGAGATGCTGCCTAAACTCAAAACCGACCATGAAACCATTTGACCCTAAACCCGAAGCCCTAAACCCTAAACCCTAAACCGACCCGCCAGCGGTGTTTGCGGCTTTGGTGTGTTAGTGTTGAAGCGAAGGTCAGGGGGCTTACGAACCCTCTTCTTACAACCCGCGCACGAATAAGTCTTAAACCCGACACCCTGAAACCTAAACCCTGAACCCTAAACCCTAAACCGCGAACCCTAAACCCTAAACCCTCAACCCTAAACCCTAAACTCTGAACCCTGAACCCTAAACCCTAAACCCTGAACCCTGAACCCTAAACCCTGAACCCTAAACCCTGAACGGCAGGAATGAAGCCTTTGTGGTCTGTAGTGAGCCCTGAAGGCAACACCGAGCTATGGCAAGACAGCAACGACCCAACGACTCCCAAACTCCGTAAGTAAGGGGATATACTGTGGGTTTAGGGTTTCAGGTTGCGGGTTTAGGGTTCAGAGTTTGGGGCTTAAGGTTTAGGGCTTAAGGTTTTGGGTTTCGGGTTTAAGGTTTAGGGCTTAGGGTTTGGGGTTTAGGGTTTGGGGTTTAGGGTTTAGACCATAAGTTGTACTTGGAGGGTCGCGGGAGTTAGTAAGTGGTGGGTCCCGCGAGACTTCGTACTGGAGTCTTGGCGGTTCTTCGGGTAGCGACGTGTCTTTAGTGATCCGAAAAGCTGAAGTGCTTTGCTCGTCAAAGGGTCTTGTAGGGGCTCGAGTAGGGGCCATTCAATAGTAATCATAATAACCCAACTATGGAGCAACAATGATAAAATGTGCTACTTTTCTGTGCTTAGTATAGGGATGACAAGACAGAATATGCACACAATACAGGATTACGAGTAAGCAGAACAGCTTATGCAAGCTCAAACCGCTCCTCGTGGAACTCGCTCTCTGTGAGCACCTGGAATGCAAGTGGCTTCGTCCCTTAATAACTTAAGCTGGGGCTTGGGGCTTGGGCTTTCACGCCTTAGATGTCCCGACCTTGGGATAAGGGTTTACCCTAAAAGACCCGCATTTTTAGGGTTCCATATTATGATTTCCTCATATAGGTCCTTACAACGTAGGTTATTTGGGGTTGAGGTAGGGCCGGTGTGGTCTTGAAATGTCCGACTTGGATCGTAAAGTGCCATCCTATGTTCAATTTACACCCAAAAACCCAAATAGTAAATACGTTGGCCCCAAAGTACTTCTAGCGGGACTTTCAAGCCAAAGTATATCTATTTGGGTACATGGACCCTTTAGCCCTAAACCCTTCTGGTACCCTTATAGAACCCTTAAANNCTTTAAAGGAACCCTTAAAGGGTACAACATGGGACCCTTTAAAGTAATATTCCACAGCCCGAAACCAGGGTGTCGGACGCTTTGGGTTTGCAGCCGCGAAGCCCAAAGCAACAGTCCTCCAATACGTCCTGCACTCCGAAACCCTAAACCCTA